AGCTTGGCTAGGGACCTCAGTCTCCCAGGCTCTCACCTACCAGGTCAGGAATCTCAAATCTCTAAAAATGTACCTGAAATATATGGCCATTTTACATTAATGAAAGGTTTTTTTTAAACCATACCTTTAATTAATTCTCATTTTATTTATATCTAGAAAATCAAAAGTTATCAATGAAGAGACTCTTCAGGAATATTCAACTGAATCTAGTTTAGGCTGATAGTTATTTAAATATTAAAATGACATATTCGTGCTTCAGTATTAGTGGCTCATATTACGTTCAGAAAGATCTTAAAACTGCCAAAGTACATCTTCCAGTGATATGGCTTATCACAAAGGCATGTGACTGCAGTAGACTGATTTATCTTTGTAAAATATAAGATTTAAAAGTTAAAACTGCATATACATAAAATATTAATGAGAAAAAAGCAGAAGTATTGTCATTAGTACATTGGTTAAGAAATTGACTCAACGTTTACCATATAGAGTCATTCTGAATATTAGGATGAAGGAAATAGTCAATAATATTAACAGCAACAACAATAATAACCAGTTCTGCTAACATTTATTGAACAGTAACATACCTTCATGAGTGCCTCTTTAAGCCCTGGGTATACACCAGAGACCAAAACAGAATCCTTACTTTCATGGGGCTTACATTTTAGACAGCACTACATGAATAAATATATGCCCAGCAGTGACAAGGACTTGGGAGAAAAAAACAAATCAGCTTAAGAGGAATAAAGAATACCTGTCAATAGGATGGGGGAGAACAGGAATGGACTGGTATTTCTCCCTAGTTCTTTCTATATTGGGGCATATGTACTGTTCACAGCTACCCCGTCCTGCCCATAAATAGTCATGGTCTAACCAGGAAAGCAAGGGAAACTCCATATACTTAGGCCAAATAGAAACCAAAGTAACATGGTAATAAGCGTAAAAAGGTGATATTACTTGGCATACATTTGAGCTTTAAGAAGGGAAAATTGGAGAGTACAGCTGTATATCAAAGTCATATTCTTAATATTGTTTTTGATTATTTGATTATAAAGAAAATAAATAATATATGATGTTGAAGAGGTTATCTGAAAAAGTGAAAACCATGCGGTTTTATTTGGTATTTAATCACTTAAGAAAATTCATTGCATTTTCTAAAGTTGGAAAAAATGCTCTACCAAAACTTGAAAAAGATAGTTCTGTAAAACTATAGACTAATTTCATATATGAATATAGATCCAGAACTTATCAATAAAATATTAGCAAATTGAATTAAGAAGTATATTAAAAGAATGACATGCCAGGAGAAATTTGCTTTGACTCCAAAAATGTAAGGATGGTTCAACATCAGGACATCTATCAACATATTTCCCAAGTCAACTGATCAAAGGAGAAAGCTCATATAATTTTTTATCAATAGATGCAATAGAAAAAGGACTTACAAGATTCAGCCACCATTTCTAGCAAAAATTCAGTGTCAAATCAGATTAAGATAAAGTCAATTTCTAAGATTGCTGATGATTAAGACTCAACTCTTCACTTTATAAAAGTGAAATATTTAAAAGGTTGCTTATAAAGGTTTAGAGGTTGCTACACTGAAGTCTTGAGTACAATTGAGGACTAATAGAAAATAAAACATAAAAATAGCTAAGTTGTGTAACTGTGATGCCACAAAAAAAATTTGATGGTGGTGACTCAAGCGCAGCCCCACCTTCCACAGCTAAAGCAGAATGAAAGACAACAGGTATGCAGTTCTCAGTCTTCATGTGGCAGAGCCATCACTAGGCTCAGACTGAAGCCACCCTCCGTGGCCGTGGGCCACGAGAAGCAGTAGTGTCCGCCGGATTTTGTCCATGCATTGTGTTACTAGGGTGTGTAATCTTAGTGTTGCTCATTTACAAGTCTGATAATAACCCAGAGTGAAAAGAGTTGAGTCTTAATCACCATTATCACCTATTTATGAAGGTGGACCTGTCTTTGATGTCTGCTTAAATCAAACCATAACATATATATATAAACAAACATCTTATGGAAGAAAATAAAATAATGATGATGACTACTATTTATTGAGTTCATATTAAGCTCTAAGAACTGCTCTCATTCAATGCTTAATCCAGCCCTATCAGAGAGATGCTATTACTATCCGCATTTCACAGGCAAGAATACTGGGAATTGAGAGTATAAGTAACCTCCCTAAGATTACATATGAAGAAGAACTGGGATTCACGCCAAAGAAATATGGTGATTCCAAGAGCCCACGCTGTTCTCAACTTCTTTAGACTGCAACAAATGGAGAATATGCTGTCTTCCTGGATGGAAGGACTTAATTCCACAATAAGTCAATCCTTCCAAGGTTGACATATACACCTAACATCATTCAAATCAGAATGGCAATAATGTTTTGTTTCAAACCGGATAAAATGATCTCAAGTTATATAAAGAAGGCTAAATGGTCGAACTAGCCTAGAAAATTGTCAAAGAAAAAAAATACTGAGGTGACGTCTTCTTCAGTATTTCAACTTACTATAAAGCCACTGAATTACAGCAGTATGGTGTTGGCATAACAATAGACAAATGACCATTTGAGCAGACTAGACTTTAGATACAGATACAAGTAAACCTGGGAGCTTGGCTTATTGTAGAAGCAACGTTTTATTTCATTGGGAAATAAAGGTTTACCTTAAAAATGGTACTGGCCTGACAGTCTATGTGTAAGAAAAAAAAGATCTTTTTATTATATCATAACGAAATTCCAATAAATTAAAATTTTCATGTTAAAAAAATAGAAAGCTTAGAAAAATAATTTTATATAATTTAAAGATTAGGGGGATCTTTCTAAAGGAAAAAACAAAACAAAACCAAAAAAAACTCAGAAGCCTTAAAAGAAAAACTAGGGGCACCTGGGTTGCTCACTTGGTTAAACGTCTGCCTTTGGCTCAAGTCATCATTCTGGGGTTCTAGGACTGAGCCCCATGTCCAGCTCCCTGCTCAGTGGGGAGCCTGCTTCTTCCTCTCCCTCTGCCTTTCCCCACTCTGCTCATGTTCTCTCTCTCAAATAAATAAATTAAATCTTTAAAATTAAAAAAAAGATAAAGAAAAGATAGTTACATTTAACTAGAAAATAAATTGATTGTTTCTTACAAGGCGTAAGACTCCCTCAAAAAAAGAAAAAAAGTTAAATTCTAAGAGATAGATTGGAAAAATACATCTGTAACACACATTATAGAAAAATAGATTTCTGGGCGCCTGGGTGGCTCAGTTGGTTAAGCGACTGCCTTCGGCTCAGGTCATGATCCTGGAGTCCCTGGATCGAGTCCCGCATCTGGCTCCCTGCTCGGCAGGGAGTCTGCTTCTCCCTCTGACCCTCCCTCCTCTCATGAGCTTGCTCTCTCTCATTCTCTCTCTCTCAAATAAATAAATAAAATCTTTAAAAAAAAAAAGAAAAATAGATTTCCCCATAATATACAAAGACTTCTAATACTTTATGATAAAAAGGTAATTCAATAGAAAATGTATAAAATATGGATAATTTAAAGAGGATGATATGCAAAGGGTCAATAATATTTGGAAATATTTATACCTCACCAAAAAAGCCAAGAGAATGCAAACTAATTAGAGAAATAATTAAGTAATAATTAAGAAAAAAAGAAATAGAGAAATAAAAAAGTAATAAACAAGCAAAAACTAAAACAAGTGGTAATTTTACTAGTTTGTGAGGATGCAGATCATGGACATTCTTTCATTGTCTGCGATAAAGTGAATTACCTCAACCTGTTAGAAAGTAATCCCTCAGTAATGGTTAAAATTAAACATAATGAACCTTCTAGCATAGCAATTCTTTCTCATCTACCCAATAAAAAATAAATACAACAATATGTGTGCATACATTTTCAAATATTGTTTTTAGCAGTAAAGAAATGTCAATAGGATAAAAACTGAATAATTTGTTTTCAGTCATGAAAGGAATATTATGTTACAGAAAAAAAAGAATGAGTCTGTCCTCTATTGTTAAGTGTAAAAATTAAGTTGCAGATTAATAGGTGTAGAATAAACATGTTTTGTAAAAAATATTAAAAGAGAGAAAGCTTATATGTGTGTGGGTATATTTGCTTTGCTTATATGAGATACCAGAAAGTATGGGAGAATATATCCCAAAATATCACCTACTCATTTTAAGAGGGTAGCTGGCAGGGGAGAGGGATGGGAAGAGGTAGAGGTGAAGGGCCATAATCAACTTTTCATATATATATATATATATATATAGCTTTGTACTCTTTCTCTAATTTCAAGATGTAAACCTAATATCTGAAATGAAAAACTAATGTTAACAATTTTAAAAGAAAAAGATGGCATTTTGAAAGAGAAAATTTAATTTTATTTCAACAAATATTTATTATACACCTTATTCCGTATGAAAAGCTTTGCCAGGGAGTCCGTTGTTAAGAAAATTGCTATATGGAGTCAAGTATTCCACACGGTTGGTCCTTGTATATTCATATGTTGTATTGATTAAGTAGCCTTAGAGTTATGCAATCACATGTAGACATGAAGGCATCCAAAAAAATAATAACTAAAAAGAAAAATGGAAATCTAAACTAAATTAAGAGCCACTCAACTCAAAAATAATTATGGTAGGCATCTCTGAAATAAGCATTTTATTTCTAGCCAGTAACTATAATTCTAAGTAAAAGATTTCAATGTAAAATTGCTGTTTTAGAGAACACATCTCTTGCTTATTTGGATCAGGAAGAGACTCTTTGGTCTGAGTTTTCTGGGATGCAGCAATATTTCATAATCCTTCCTGTGGACCATGTCTATGTAAAAAACCACGGGAAGTTAAACTGAAAGTTTTAATCTCATACATTTTGGCCATACTATCATAAATATGGTCTTATGCCTAGGAAAGAATAGAATACAATATTTAGCTAGCTTGCTCCTTAAAAATCTTGGACACGTCTATTTTTAATGATGGCTCCAGGATATTATCAGGAAGGTAATCCAATTAGATGCCACTTCTGTTAGCTTACTATGATGACACTGGCCTTCTCCATGTAAAAGTCCTTCGAAAAATTTCTGTAGAAATAGATTCATGTCTTCTGATTGAATACTGTCAAAAAGACATTTTTTCCCAAGTCTAACTTTTTAAATGAGAAAAATAACTAATTTCTGGATGTAAACATTTATAGGAGAGAAAATTGGGATTTTTTTTTTTTCCCCAAAGATCGTCAGATGACTGTCTCCAGTGTCATTATATCAAATCTCTTAATCTCTTCTGGATATTTTATCCAAGTTTTATCTCTTTTTTCAAAGATTTTATTTAATTTGAGAGAGAGAGAGAGCGCATGAGCACAAGTTGGGGGGGGGGGCAGAGGGAAAGGGAGATGCAGACTCCCCGCTGAGCAGGGAGCCCCACACGGGGCTCGCTCCCAGGACCCTAGGGTCATGACTTGAGCTGAAGGCAGATGCTTAACCAACTGAGCCCCCCAGGCATCCCTCAAGTTTTATGTTATGAATGCTTTTTCTCAGCCTCAGTACCAAGTTCCAAATCAATTCACTATTAGCTCAACTGCACAGACTATCTCCGGGTTTTAATTCTTTCAAGTGCTGCCAAACCTTGGCCTGAACTCAGAATGTTCTGGCTCGAGAGGCAAAGAAGTGGTATTCCACGTATCAGTCGGGTTGAATTTAGCTGTCATAACCTTTCCATTTTTCATTTACGTGACGAGTATCAAGAAGCCCCCTGAGTTTGACTTTGACTCATTTTTTGAGTTCACAGAGCACTGCACCTCCAAAATAAATAGAACCCTGTGTCTGTTCTACAACCCTTGCTCTTTAGGTTTCTTTGATTTTTCTCTACATCCAGACACATCCGCTATGCACATAAGGAACGCATTTAAAGCTTCTTTTCACCCCAGCACAGTGTGGACCACTCCAAGAAGTTTTTAAAATTAATGATTTTAAGCCATGTAGTAAAATCTGAATAGGTATTAGGTCTTGCTAATTATAAATTAGGAAAGCAGTTATCAAGCAACTAGACAACTGACATGTAGTGGGAGCCCATTTTGTTGCCACTTGTTAGTAAAAATGCCCTCTGAAAATCTCAGGTGATATTCCTTCTGGAGGAAACTGTTTTCCCTTTTATTTAAGAATGAAACATGTTGGTCAGTACTTCTCTATAATTTTTCTGTTACTTTTTTCTGACTTTGATTTTGTTTAGAGTTACAAATATGGATATCAATATATATTGCTCTATGGGAATCTTTTAAATTTTCAAAATAACCGTATGCTAAGGAAAAAAAATGTACTCTAATCAGCTGTGACTACAGTTACTTACTGAACTCCATCTCTGTGTGCATGGCATTAAATGGGTATACAATTTTGGCCCTGCCATCAAGAAGCTTACTAAGAGATGAAATGTGTACTCTAAAATTTAAGGAACGTTGCAAGGCAATGATAAGAGAGGAACCAGAATAGTATGTAAAAAAAGTGATTTTTTAATGGTCCATGTACATTTTTCTAGGGTTCTTATACCCCCAAAGCATGAGTGTGTTACCAGTATGGCCTTACAAAATTTAGAAAAAAAAGGGGGGGAATATTAAACATTGTAGTATTCCATTACAAAATATTTCTTTTTTTCTGGTGTTCAGGTCCATGTGTTAGTTAAATAGGATCATCCTTTGCTTGCCTTTTTAAAGGCTTATCTCTTATCTCTGAGAATAGAAGTTGCTATTGCTTTACTTTCTACAATATGCACATGTGAGATTCAAGAACTCAATTATGCATCCTCAGAATATGCAAAGAATGTTCCCCCACCCGCACCATCCAAAAAAAAAAAAGTAGTGACATATTTAGAGTACATACTAACAATGAAAAGCAGGGAGTTCTGATGTTTCATTTAATTGAGTTATAAACAAGAAAACTGTCAAATCCTGCCACTGCCCCATGGATGCATGTGGATGTGTGAATTTCCTCCATGCGTGTGCTCTGTGTCCTTTAGAACACCCACCGTGGAGATGAATCACTAAGGTGTGTATTAGTCTGACAGTCCTAGAAAGTATCACGACAAAAAGCCAAACCCAGGAAACAGCATTTCATTTAGTTCCTGGTGTACTGCTAATTGATCCCAAACCCTTCATTACTGTCTAGTGCAAAAGTCGAAAGGAGGCATTTAGAAAGTGGCTTAAGTGAAAACAAGGCACGGCAAAATTCTAGGTCTTGTGAACTTCACTTGCTCTGTTCCTGTGTTGTCACACTGATTCTAAATTTATCTTTTATTTCAGGTCACTTGGAAACCCCCACTCATGCAGAATGGAGACATACTTAGCTATGAGATCCGCATGCCTTATCCTCACCTCACAATAACCAATGTTACTTCCTCTGTGTTAAGTCGAGTAATTACTCATCTGATTCCTTTCACTAACTACTCTGTCACCATTGTGGCTTGCTCAGGAGGCAACGGGTACCTAGGAGGGTGCACAGAGAGTTTACCTACCCATGTTACCACCCACCCCACCCTACCTCAGGGCATTAACCCGTTGTTGGTGATTCCACTAAGTGAATCATATGTTGGGATTTCATGGCAGCCACCATCCAGACCAAACGGACCCGATTTGAGGTAAGAGAAAGTGACTGTGCTTTTGGATTCTGCTATGGTCTTATCTCCGAAGGAAGGAAGGAAGGAAGAAAGGAAGGAAGAAAGGAAGGAAGGAAGGAAAGAAGGAAGGAGACTTTTATTCACATGTGAATGTAGAACTAATTCTAATTGGATACCCCTTACTCATAACTTGAATACGATTTCGTATTGTATATCTCGACTTACATGGAGCCGTGAAAGTTCGAGATAGAAATATAATTTTGTGAAGCTCTAAAACCCCTTGAAACAACAATCACTGTTCTCTATCAATTCTTGATGTAATCCTTCTCTTGGTTTTCAGAATATATTTTTATTATATGTTAGACAAACTTGATGCATGTTCTAAATGATACATTTACACAAAAATGTCTCAAAATTCCAAAGCTAACACAATAATTCTCTGGCAGGGTATTATTATCTGGAAACTTGTAAAGAATGTGGTCAGGGACATAGATAAGAGGAAAGAAACGTGTGTGATTCTGAAATAGCTTTGTAACAACCTCAACTTGACACTTAGCCAAGAGTAGCAAGCTGATAATATTATCATTATTTATAAAGCACTGATGGGTTGATGTCTTAGGAAACCATTAACTTAAGCATTTTGTATTTCCACTTTCTGTGAAACTGGTGATAAAGTTTTGGCAAATCTGAAATAGAAGAAATCTAAAATGTTATCATTCTTACTAATAATAGTAAAATGTGAATGTAGCTGATTGTTTCAAAATAATTGAATACCTGAAACTTGAGCCAGAAGGCAGTGATTATCTGGAAAAAAAAAACAAAAAACTTCATGATTGTAAATTAGGTTTTTTTTTTTTACGTTTCTGTGCACACACCAGATACTCATACCATGAAACAACATGAATTTTGGTTAATAACATTAGTTGAGATAATCCCGATGTTTCTGCTTGTCTTTTGCTTTAGATATGAGCTTCTGAGACGTAAAATCCAGCAACCACTTGCATCAAATCCCCCAGAAGATTTAAATCTGTGGCACAATATTTATTCAGGAACTCAGTGGTTTTATGAAGATAAGGGTCTTAGCAGGTGAGATTACAAAAACTATAAAAACAAAAGCTGGCATTTAGTCTTGGGCACGTTGACCAGTTCAGAGCATCTTCATGTCTTCGTTGTGTGCATGTTATCAGTTGTGCAATAAAACATGTTTGGTGATTATCTGTGGCATTAATCATCGAACTGCAACAGTCAGCATGTTTCATGTTTGCCATCTTAACTGTACGCTTAAAATAAGCCTTTTGAAGTCAAACTTGTACATGTTTGAGTCTTAACCTATTGCCTTTGTCACAGCTCTAGCGAGACATGAAAACTTAATAGAGGAATTTGGAAAAACTGAATATCTACAAAACGGGGGGGGAGGAGGGGGAAAATGACTGGGCACTTACCAAATGCTTACTACTTCTGGAAAATAATTGTTACAAGTCATTGATGCAGCCCACAAAAAACTTAGTTAGCATGCCTGGGACTTGAAAGAATTCAGCCTCGGGTTTAAAGGAACCAGGAGAAAGGCAAACAGGCAATGTCAACAAAGAGCACTGCGTGGGAGAGCCCGCGGGCCTCGGTGGGTTTCACCCTGTGATGGAGAACCAGGTTTGGGACTTTATGCAAGTCACGTAACTTCTCCAGCCTTAACTTTGGATGTCGATAAAATGAAGAGATTGGATGGGATTAAATGATTTCTCAATCAATGTAATCAAATTGCCGGAAAAAAAACCCCACAAATATTTTATGAATGCTTTTCAGACATGTTTTTCAATAACTTTACTATCAGCTTCATTATTTTCCTGGACCCACCACTGACTCGCTCTACTCTGAACGCTGTTTACAGCTTTGGCCTTGCATCTCCCCTCTTCCTCACCTAGGCTTGTCCTGGCCTCGTTCACATCACTTTCAGGGCCTGTGATGTGCCACACTTCCTCACTGAGCTTCTCCCCCTCGCTGCCTTCTCCCTTTGTCTGACTAGATTATCCATCACACGTTGGCCGGGAAGTTTCCTAGCGGGCTTCCCTGCCCACTCTTCCTGGTCTGACTCAGCTGCCCCTTAAAGCATTCTTACAACACCCTCATATAGCACTCATGTCAGTAACGTACTGGCCTGGCGACTTGTCTGGACACCCCGTTATGTCGTCAGATCCACCCTGAGGCAAGGCTTTGCCCTCGTGACTTCTGCACCCTCGGTCCCTAGCATCCTGTCTGCACATCGTGGGCCCTGGAATAGTTGTTAAATGAAAGAATATGTTAACTCAGTGAAGGGTGGGTTATTTCATTTCTCTGTGCCTTTGGATGTTAATTGTAGTGTTATTGTCTTTGGGGAATGGATAAAATTAAGGAAAATTCCCATCCATCTTGAAGGATTGTGATGGGAAAACCTTAAGGTTCTTGGGGGAGGGGGGAGGCAGCACGTGAATCTAACGAAGCAATAGAGTAAACCATATGAAATTGCCATTGCTGTAAGTCAACCTAAATTATCATGGTCACTAGACTATTCTGCTTTACTTCATCCAACATCATTCTATAATTATCACTTCGGTTGAAGAAATTTATATATTCAGCAATTTCTTCTTGCTTACTATCTGCTGAAAGGCACTGGGATAAGACAAAAATGAATTCAGCATTGGCCTCAAAGACCTCACTGTCTAGTGGAGGAAAACAAACTGCACCCATGGCTATGTGTGTACTAATTGCTTTTTTTTTTTAAGATTTTATTTATTTGAGAGAGAGAGAGAGAGAGTATGAG